AAAATGCAAAAACAAAAACCCCTCTTTGCAAATGTTGAGCTTCATCTAGGGTTTTATGTGGCGAGAGATACAGCTTCCATTCGTGAGTAATTCAAAGAGTCAAATGGTGCTGAGGTAAATTACGACCCTCCGTGCATATTGGTGAAATGAGAGGCTGATCCATTTGCACACTAATGTGCTATTTTTAAGTCATGCATCATAGCATCTTCAAAGAGGCCTGTCATAATTATGATGGATTAGACTGCAGAGTCAGTCCTAGTTGCAGTAATTGTTTCACAGATGCTGCCGATGCGACTTGAATTCATAACAAATTGTCAGAAAAGCGGGAAAACTGCCGTGGCTGAAAAGTAGCTACCTTAGTTCTGGCAAGCAAGAATGTTAGCTGGTACTTGGTCAAAAGGCCAGTAGTTTGAACTGAAAGAAACGTGTTTCTTCATGATGTAGAATATACGGGTTGACATCAGTTTCTCCTCACCTTGGTTCCCCTCCTGGTGCACAGATGATTATCCTGTGGTATTAGCCGAAACCACAGACCCATCATGATATCATTATGTTACATTGCTATGTTAAATTACCTGATTATAATTTGACCTTTCAAATTTACAAAACAATTGGTTGTGTTTATTGAAGATTTATTGGAGTTCTTTTTAATACTCTGCTTTATAAGGACTGCCAGACTATTAGGGTAAAAGGATAAACATAAATAAATGATATAACTTGTTTCTGAGTTATGACCTTTTCCTCAATTAACATTTAATTAACCTCTGTCATTTAGGAAGAAGATGATTTTTATAACTCTCTTCACGTTAAAAAAAAACCTCAAATTGTTTTTTCAGTTACACATCTAGAAGTTTAATTTACCTTGTTACCAGGCAATATGGGTAGATATCCTCATGTTAGCATTTTATCACAGCACACTAATGCTAAATGCTATAATTGCCTTCAGATGTTTTACCAAAAGCCTGATCATTTTCCTCTTACGAACTACATAGCTAAATAATGAAGAATAAGTAAAAATGCAACAAAGGAGGCAGAAATAAGGGCAAGAATATCATTTTTATAAGTATCATTTATCTATAAATCATATATTCCAAATTTCAAATAAGTAAAACATGTTTCGATTATAACTAAAAACAAGCTCATAGAATGAGAAAAATAAAAGCCACCCGCAGGATTATGCAGTGGCTATCATGATGAGCTCCTAGACGGTTGTGGGTTTAACACTGTGGTTCTGTTCCTTTCATGCTTGGTCCTGGCTTCCCAGGACCCATATGCCTGGGTTCATATGTAACTCTGAATCCTTACTGAGTCCCTGAGATAATCTTATACATCATTAAAACACATCAGTCATTTCGTGATCACTCAGGTCAGTGTCATTTAGGATGTCTCAGCCATCGAAAGTTTAAAGTGCTACCTAGTGATTTTGTCAGCTGGACAAGGCTGGGTATAAAAAAGGTCAGCAAGTAATCGGCATGCATTGAACCTCACAACGGAGAATAGCGAGGAAATCTGTGATCCCTCCCCTGCAGCCACACGGACACCTGGGCGTCTGATGCCGTTCTGACCCTGTACACCTGGCAGCAGTGGGGGCTCCTCCTGGTGGAACTCCCAGGCCAAATCCCAGCTTGTTTCACTTGTACAAGCTTCCTACTACTGCTTCATTGCGCGATTTGACTGAACAACTCAGGGAAAACACACACACACACACACACACACACACACACAGCCTTACACGCTGCTTACTTATTTAATATAAAGAATATACAAAATAATGCTGGTGCAGCTTTGTGTGTGAAAGGGGTGCTCTTTCTAAGCATACCCACTTCAGTGATCTCTAAGTATATTCTAGAATCTGCCTAAACCTCAGAGAAACTTTTGCTGCAATTCTGATACTAATAGACTGAGTGGGAAAACCCAGCAAGGCTTGTCTGTTCACATTCTTCTTGACCTCCCTGTATCGCATTTTTCTCTCCTGGGTCTCAGGCAGGAGTCTTATCTACCATAAGAAAAGTTAGGTCAGTGTACATTAGGATTCCCAAAGACTCATATTGGGAAGGAGTTCTTAGAAGCATGGATGGAAACATGTAACATCACAGAGAAATTTCATATGAGTAAGAGATTAATAATCTTCCAGTAGATCTTATTATATAATTAGAAACAGATCTTGATAGCTCTGAAGAGCTTATTGTGAAATCTTTTTTGAAGTTTAGCTGGAATTTGGCCCCTGGTGCCAGCCCTGGCCTCTCAATGAATATGTCAAATAAGAGCCTCTCAAGGAATATGTTAAAAACAGCCTGTGCCTGTTTGAGATGGTAAGTAAATGGTTCAGCATGCAATATTGCCATAAAGACTCTTCTCCCTATTTTTTAAATATAACTTTTGATCATTTCTTTTAGAAACATAATGCCTTATTATGATTGCAAGTCTATATATTTTTTATTTTTTCATTATTGTTATATAAACAGCAAATTTACAGAGCAAAGTGACCCTCTGGTTTACTCCCCAAATGGCAGAAACAGCCAGAGCTGAGCCCATGTGACACTGAGAGCCTGGAGCCTCTTCCTGGACTCTCCTGTGGGTGCGGAGTCCCATGGACTTGAGCCATTCTCCACGGCTTTCCCAGACCAGAAGCAAAGAGTCATATCAGAATTTAAGCAGCCAGGACATAACTCAGTGTCCATGTGGGATGCTGGCACCACAGGGTGGAGGAGTAGTCTGTGAAGCCATGGTGCCAGTCTTACCAGTTTGTATTTTAAAATCACTTTTTGTTCTAAATGAAAATAATGATTAGTGAATCATTGGCATATAATGAATTGCTATGTATAAATCTCATTGATAGGCATTACTTTCATCAGATTTATTTGTACAAGGATTTTCTGTCCTTTCACCTCTATACAAGTTTAATCCCTATTCTTCAGGTATTGAGAGAGTAGAAACTTAAATCTGACTGAGATATTTGGAGGTGAGGCCCTGGGGAATTGATTAAGACCTGATTTCTGGTAACATTGAGTGAAGAGGGGAAGAGACCAGCACGCTGTCTCACCATATGACAGTGTGCTGTGCTGTCTCAGGACTCTGTCAGCAAGGAGCCACCAGCAGGTGTAATTCTTGTGACATCTTAGAGAATGGTGTATTAGCTAGCTGAAATAGTTTATGTAGCATGAAGGACAATATATCGAGAGGGCTTATGAATTTTTTGTAATTATATAATAAATCTGCATATTTGTGGGCATTTTTGTGGGGCATAAATTTTTTGCAAGGAATTGGTTTATGTGGCAAAAGAGCATCTTTTTTAGCATTTGGAGAGCTAATTAGTCTCTTTCAGACTTGTGATGCTCTTTACTTAGGTAGTAGTGCCCTCATGTAAACAAAAGCCTCTTAAATCAAATTTTCCTATGTAGTATATCCACAATAGTATAATTTTAAATATTCCAAAAAATTTTAATCTTTAAAATGCTATGATGGGTCACACTTTCTGCACACAGGACTGAATAACTGTTTGTGGCTACTCGCTGTTATGTTGGATGATGCATATCTACCTTTTTTCCCAGATTTATTTATTTTTATTGGAAAGGGAGATATACAGAGAGGAGGAGAGACAGACAGGAAGATCTTCTATCCGGTGGTTCACTCCCCAAGCTGCAGCATCAGCTAGAGCAGAGCCAATCCGAAGCCAGGAGCTTCTTCCTGGTCTCCCCCGCAGGTGCAGGGTCCCAAGGCTTTGGGCCATCCTTGACTGCTTTCCCAGGCTGCAAGCAGGGAGCTAAATGGGAAGCAGAGCAACCGGGATAAGAACTGGTGCCCATATGGGATCCTGGCACATTTACGCTCCAGGCCTGCATATCTACCTTTTAATGTTTAGAAAGAAGCAGATATAGTAGAAACATCATGTTTTCTCAGTCAATTAACCTATTATTTATAGCGTACCTAAAGCCTATTGCTATTAGTAAAAAATTGTTACCAGTTTATTTTATAAATCATCATTTATATGAGGGAATATTTCACTTAAAAAAAAGGTTGATGAAAGCGTTTCTGAAATTTGTTCTTGCTGTATAATTGTCCTACATAGGATTTACAGTTGTATTGAATTTTGTGGGCTGTCCCCTTGCCTTGCATATTTTCCTGCTTTTATTGTCAATTTTTAGGAATGGTGTGTGTTAACTTTTATTTTGCAGGCATACTTTTAGCCATTAGTACATTTTTTTTATATCAGGACAAAAGACCTTAATCAGTCATGAGATTGTTAAAATTTTCACGGACTTTCTTTATCTTTTGCTTTTTCTTTTAATTCAGAGAGAGATATTCCATCTCCTGATTCACTTTCCAAATGGCTGCATCAGTGAAAGTGTGTTTCAGTATTTCTAAGATGTTGTTGTTGAAGTACAAAATGAGAGATGGTTGGAGCAGCAGCTAGCTAGAAAGCTGCATAGGAAAGTCTTTTTATATCAAGCAGGAGTACTCAGTGGAAGTGGACAGCTGGCTCTTGAGGAAGAGTCACCTACGAAGGGCATGAGTCAATGAAGGACTTGGGAAATTGGTAAGAATGAAGGCAGTGTGGCCTAATCTCAGCTAAAAAGGAATGCAGGCAGGGCGGGGGCAGTGAAAGGAGATAAGGAGTAGTAGCTACCAGGACATTCTTAATTAAAGGGAGCCCCAAAGGAGTAGGCAAAAGTGCAGTTGGCTGGGGCGGGGCGCTCATCATGAAGCAATCATCTAAGGTAATATATGTAACAGACCTTTAGCATATGAAGTGCTCTACCCAGTGATTTTAATTGTTACTGGCATTTTACAGTTGTTAGGGGAATGCAGTTAATGTATCAGTTGATGACATTGTCCATTCCTGCTCCCTGTGTTTATAAATGTTTCCAGCCTGACTTGTACATAAATAATTATCAGTATACATACAATGTGTATGTATTCCTATACTATTTTTCATAAGATCTGTAATTAGTGCTTGCAGTGTACTAATGCATTTCCATTATTGTTTCTCTGTGTTTTAGGATTCATTCAGAGGGCAGCCTTGTGGATGGCCCCGAAGTAAAGCCTGATGGAACAGGATAGAACCAACCATGCCGAGGGCAACACGCTAAGTCCATTCCTGATACCGTCACCTTCTGCAGTTTGCCAGGCAGAACCTCTGGCTTTAAACCTCCAGAATGGCAGCCCGTTACCCGAGAGAGCTCCTCCAGAGGTCAACGGAGACACCCAGTGGCAAGCCATCAGAAGTCGCCAGGGAACAGCCAATGTCAAGGAAAGCCAGAAGAGTCCGGATTTTATGCAAGGGTATTCCACGTGTTTCCAAAATGGAGGAATAAAACACACAGTTAGTGAATCCTCTCTGTCTGGGCTCCCTCATGGCAAAAAACGAAAACTAGACCAAAAGGCGAATGAAGAAAGAATTTACTTCGGGGAAAGCCATGAACAAAATCCAGGGGAAAGCAGCAGTCAACCAAATGTCTCCGCTTTGAATGATCACGTCGAATCTGCAAGCTCTGCAGCCCAAGACAGTATCGTTAAAGATCTGGCCAGTTTCTCATCACGCAACACCAGTGGGTCAGAAAGACCAGAGCTTCAGATTCTGAATGAGCAAGAAGGGAAAAATGTTAACTTGCAAAACCAGAACATGGAATTACTTGTTAAAAACAAGGCAGTGCTAATGCCTAATGGTGCTACAGTTTCTGCCTCTTCCGTGGAAAACACACATGGTAAACTCCTGGAGAAAACACTGTCTCAATATTACCCAGATTGTGTTTCCATTGCGGTGCAGAAAACCACATCTCATCAAAATGCCATTAATAGTCAGGCTCCTCATGAGTTGTCCTGCGAGGTCACTCAGCCATTGCATACCTCAGGGCAGTTCAATTCCTCACAGACCTCGAAATCTGAGCTGCCTCCAGAGCCAGGTGCAGTGGAAACCGAGGCCTGTGATGCTGATGCTGGCAAACCAGCTGCGATGCTAGGGACCTGTCCATTTCAGAAACCAGACCAACCAAAACAGCCAAAGGCCATGCTTGAGATATGCCCATCTCCTGCAGAAAACGAGGACATTCTAGGAGCCACAAATCTGTTATCTGAAGAATTCGGTTCAGGTTCCAGCAGCAGTTTGCAAGCTCCTGGTAGCAGCTCTGAGTATTTAAAGCAAAATGAAATGAATGGTGCTTACATGAAGCAGATCTCAGTGTTCACTAAGGACTCCTTTTCTGCCACTACCACATCACCATCACAATTGCTTTCTCCGCCTCCCACTCCACTTCTTCAGCTGCCTGCAGAACGAAAACAGAGTCTGAATGATGTAAATTTGGAAGAACACCCTCACCAGCCTATCCGAAAGAAAAGGGCACTTTTACAGGAAGTAAAGCTAGAGCGTCAATCTGACACGCCAATATGCCCGAGTCCTATTCCAACTACACACACATCTAATTCCTCTCTGATACTTGCAGAAGGGCCTCAGAATAACTGTGTTATCAAAAATGGCAAACAGACCCCTGGGACAATGACAGTTCCATTGAATTCTGAAAACATAAGACCAGTATCAGAACATTTAAAACATAACCCAGCCTCTCTTACTAGCAGTGGGGAGCTACAGGACCACTGCTGGAAGATGGAGCAAGAGATTCTGACAGGTCGAGAAAAGGGAAAAACACAAGATCTTGTGCTTCCGATGCAGCATTATGTGAAGCCAGGATGGATTGAGTTGAAGTCCCCTCATTTTTCTGCATCAGAATCTCATCCAAAATGTGATGATACATCCCTGCGGTCAATTCTTCAGTATCAGTGCAACTCCTCCAATCAGATGGCCTCTACACAATACACTGGAAATTCCAATGTGCCTGGGGAACTCCCCAGGCACGCTTACATCCAGAAATCAAGGCAGCGAGAACAGAAGTCACCAATGTACCCAGTTGAAGTGAATCAGTGTCAAGGTGCAGCGGACCAACACCTTCAGTTTTCAAAAGCCTCACAGCAGGTGCCCTTCTCCAAGACAAACCTTTCACCTGCCACTCACCTGCAGTCACAGTGTGACCCAAAATTTCATTTTCCACAGAAAGGAGATTTTCTCACCGAAAAACTCATGTCACCACTGTTAAAGCCACACTTGAATCAACGGGCTTCAGTGACTGAGCCGTTTTCAAATTCACAACTGTTGCCTCAAAAGCAGGCAGCACAAACACAACCATCCCAAAATTCACATCTTCTGCAATGCCAACAGCAACAGAAGTTACAAGTAAAGAATAAAGAACAAACGCCCCAGACTGTGGCTCATCCACAGAGCAACAATGATCAGTCGAGAGAACGGTCATTCTTTGCCCATGTTAAAGTCGAGGAATGCTTTCATGGTGAAAATCAGTATTCAAGATCAAGTGAATATCAGATTCATAATCCCCCAGTGGGATCGGAGCATGTGCAGCATACGAACAGTAGAAATTCTCCCTATGGACAGGTGAAATCAAGTGCAAGTAACGTGCAAATTTCTTATTCACACAGTACACACACAGTTCCAGAGAATAAAGGACAGACTGTTTCAAACTTGGCCCAAAACGAGGCCCAAACCTTGGATCACATGCAATATTTTCCAAATAATGTGACTGCAAAGCAGAATGCTCTTCACAGGTGCTTTCATGAACAAGAGCAGAAACCTCAACCAGCTTCAGTTCTACAGGGATATAAAAGTAGAAACCCAGATATGTCTGGTGAGCTAGCCACACAACTAGCTCAGCCAAGGTACTCGATGCATAACCAAGCTAATGCTTTTCCTGTTCCTGAGCAGGGAGGAAGTCGCACTCAGACCCCTCCAGAGAAGGACCTGCAAAAGCATGCTGCTTTAAGGTGGCACCTGTTACAGAAGCGGGAACAGCAGCAGCAAGCGCAACAACCCCAGACGGAATCTTGCCATAGTCAGGTGCTCAGGTCAATTAAGGTTGAACCTGGATCCAAGCCTCATTCCTGTATGCGTTCCCCATCAGCACAGGCAGACAGTAAAACGTGGAAAAAGATAAGTAAGCAAGAAAATCTGCCTTCAAGCTGTGATAACATGCAGCAGAAGAGTATTATTGAGACGATGGAGCTGCATCTGAAGCAGTTTCAGGTCAAATCACTATTTGACCATAAGGCTCTTGCTCTGAAATCACAGAAGCAAATAAAAGTTGAGATGTCAGGCCCGCTCACGGTTTTAAGCAGGCAGATCACTGCTATGGATTGTGAGAGCCGCACTGCAGCTTCAGATCAGCTAGTTACTGCCTCAGAAAAGACTCCAACCAAAACAACAGCTGGTTCTCTTCTCAATAGTTTCTTAGAATCACCTTATACATTTCTAGATACTCCGATAAAAAATTTATTGGACACACCTGTCAAGACTCAATATGATTTCCCATCATGCAGATGTGTAGGTAAGTGCCAGAAATGTTTTGAAACACATGGTGTTTATCCAGAATTAGTAAATTTATCTTCTGTTATGGGATTTTCTTTCTTCATATAAATCTTAAATCTGGCAGCAATTTGAGAAGGCTCATGAAAAGCTGACTCTTACATATAATTTTATTTTGTTTGTTCTTTATAGTACAGATGCTTGTGCCATGCAAAAGAGAACTTAGCTTACATGCAGCTTTTCAAAAAATTTGTTCCTTTTTCCCCTTTAAAACATGTCTATTTCTAGTCTAATCTCTATCTGATTCTATCTACATCATTTTCTAGAAAGATAAGTAAAAAAAAATCACAGTAAAATGAGATGACTGCCATATGTAGGAGCTTTTTTCACTACATTGTTTTTATTATATGTTTTTGCATTAATGGGATAATGTTGTTTTCAGTTTTGCTGGGTTGTGAAATTACAATGTGAATGCTTTAGAGTGACTCACAAGAAGCCTTTGTAATTTATAGGCATTTCCAGTTTAAAAACTTGTCTTAGCATATGGGTGCAGATGTCATTGTAGGGAGAAGATATTGAGTTAGTGAGCATAAGGCTCCAATCCTTTGTCCATTGGGAGTGAAAGTGGGAGAATAATCCCCTACTTCCGTAATTTGGTGCATGGCTGTTCAGTTGCCACACATTGCCATCATAGATAACATTAGGTAAGTTACAGTCCTCTTCACCCATCCCTGTAATCCTGCCCTCCCTCTTTGTAGAATACACCAGGCGCTTCCTTTCACCTGATTTCCCAGAATTTTTTCCTCAACATAAAGTGCTCATATTGCACACAAATATGGATCTGGATTGATTATACTCATTTTCAAAATAGAATAATTAATTTTTTAGGAAACAACACTGTTCAGGGGGTGATATAGGAAAGGAACAATTTTTAATCTTTTAACCTCCCAGCAGCAGTCATGGTTACCTTAAGTAAATTTTTTTTTTCAATTTCAGAATTGGGTTATAGTTCATGCTACATGTAATATCTTCTAATACTCTCCCTCTCCCTGTTTTCTTTAATTCTACTCATTTTCTTCTTTCACATCTAAACCAAAATGTTTTTATCCAACACCTAGCATGTACATATACTTAATTATTTGGCACATTTTCTAATCGATCAGTCCATCAATTTACTCATTTTAAAGAGAAGAAATTTTGAAAGTCACTTAGGGCCCTTTATGTGCAGTTGGGGGATACGCTTTGTGGATGTAGCCTTTATATTTAGTATAATTGAGGTCTAAAATAATAATCTTCTATTATCTCAACAGAGCAAATTATTGAAAAAGATGAAGGTCCTTTTTATACCCATCTAGGAGCAGGTCCTAATGTGGCAGCTATTAGAGAAATCATGGAAGAAAGGTAATTAACGCAAAGGCACAGGGCAGAGTAACGTTTATCCTTTTGTATATGTCAGAATTTTTCCAGCCATCACACACAAAGCAGTAAACAATTGTAAATTGAGTAATTATTAGACCCAGCTCTTCCAGGGTTGCCAACACTACACACTGTGCTATTCACAGAGTCACAATATTTGACAGGCCTAATAGTCTGCTAGCTGGCACAGGCTGCCCACTCGGAGATTGAAGCCAGAAAACGCAGGCATGAACAGGAACCAGCCAACCAGCCTGGTAAAAGCTGCAGAGCGGACTCGCTCTGGCTTTCCTACTTGATGAGAAAGTGCAAGGGGGAAAGTATAGCATGAAGAAAGGAAGCATTGATTTACATGCATCTACAGCTGAGTTAACTACAGAGTGCAAGTGTGGAATATTGAATAAAGAGAGAATTTCTGTTGATAGTTCCTTTTCGCCCCATATCAATCATAAATCTTCAACTGTTTGCCTAAATGTACAGTTGATCCTGCATGAAGAATCTACCAGTGAGATAAGCCTTGTAGACAGGGTTTTCAGCTAGGTATCTATGTTTGCAGGTTACTTTTTAATTAAAAGGCAGGTAGTATGTTTGGTTAGTTATTATAGGATACCTTCAGATAGCAAGGGTAGTGTCTTACTCCATTTGCAAATGATTGATTCCTAGAGCACCATGTCTGAATTGGTCATCTAGCACCCTGGTCAGAGTAGTGAATTAATAGTGAGTTAATCTAAGCAGTAGCAGTAAGTAGTGCTTTGGTCATAAACAAGGATATGGAGTATTTCAAGAACTATATCCTAGATTTTCTGAATGGCTGGCTACTAATTATTTCCCAGATTTATTTACAAAATGAGAGAACTTTTGAGGAATAACTAAATAAAATCTGTATGACTTCTTACCTTTTAAAATAATTAAATTTAGTAAAGGGCATAAATACCATAAATTTTAGTAGACCGAATTTTGCAAACTAATTTTAAAATTTTATGTTTTAAATTATCTATAAAAATAATCTTTCCCATTGTTTTTCATCCAGCATATAGTTTATAAAGGAGTTTATTACAATTACCAGCATATTAAGACTGGGAAAAAGGGCTTAACAGATTTTATCGGGTTCGCCTGCGTGAGATTTCTGTTGGACAAAAAATAATAATATAATAATAATAATAATAATAATAAAACCTCTCATGATGTGGTTATAGAATGCCTCTCAAATTTGATTGCTAATTTTGTGTATGTGTGTGTGTGTGTGTGTGTGTATGTGTGTGTGTGTTTCTGTGGGTTTCTTTAAGGTATGGCGAGAAGGGAAAAGCTATTAGGATTGAAAGAGTCATCTATACTGGTAAAGAAGGCAAAAGTTCCCAGGGCTGTCCTATTGCCAAATGGGTAAGTGTGACTTCACAAGGCCCCTTGTCTTTCAAGCTTGGGCATTTTGATTCATGGGATGACCATGAATGGAACATTGCTTGTTTATATCATCTTCCTTCTGAAGATGAAACTATCATTGGAAAAACTGATTGACAGGAAAGATGCTTATTTTAGTGACTGCCCGAAGTCTAATGCTTGAAATGTGAAGATGTCTTTAACCCCTTATGATACCGTTATTTCTATATTTTACTATTTAAGAAAACCTTGAGCTGAGTCCTGCATCTATTTTATTAAGCTCAGGTCCAATAAGTTGCTCTTGTTGTTTCCAAGTATTTGCTGAATTTTGAGGATTGCTTTTGCTTCTTTGCAGAAACCAATGAATGCCCCCACTGCATAGATGGGCAGTGGGAGCCAATTGCAGGTGCCAGTAAATGTTACTCTAGATGTAGTGATATACACTGTTGTTATCTGCTGCAAGTGACCCTTGTTTTCTTTGGGGCGGGCCGGGGTGTCTGGGTCCGACCGAAATCCACACAGGTGATTCGCAGAAGCAGCCAAGAGGAGAAGCTACTGTGTTTGGTGCGGAAGCGTGTAGGCCACACCTGTAACACTGCAGTGATTGTAATTCTCATCATGTTGTGGGAAGGAATCCCGCGCTTCCTGGCAGACAGACTCTACTCTGACATCACAAAAGTCCTGAAGAACCATGGCACTCTCACCAACCGTCGGTGTGCTCTGAATGAAGAGTAAGTGAGGCCAGGATTCCTGCTCTTTGAGCAGCTGCTGATGGGAAAGAGTTGATGCTACATTTGTGCATTCACAAAATGAGCATCGAACTGCATGTTTCATAGCCATGTATTATGAATTCAAAATTGATTTACCAGTATTTTGCACACTCACACTATAGCCATTTGTTACCTGTAGCAAAATAGCCTCAATTTTGCCATAAACCTGAAAGTATTTGCATGCCATGAAAAAACTGTTGATGGCTATGGATGCATATTTTCAAGGATCGCAAATGAGAAACATACATCTCCATGTCCTGCCTGTCAAAATGCAGGAAATGTTACAATGGAACACTGCTCCTAAATAATTCTGTTCAAAAATAATTTTTAATTTTAATGTTTTGATACATGCATAGTAATTTAGTAATTATTAAATGACGTAGTAATCATTGTCAATTTTTAAATGTTGATTACAAAATTTAGCTGATAGTTCTGAATTTTTTTTTCATTTATTATCTCCTCTAGCCTTATTAAGGTTATTTGATACCTGTCTATTTAAAAATTTTGCTTCCAATTGTTCATTCAGAAGTGTTTATCAGTCTTCATACATGTGTTTTTCAGAGTATAGTAGTTTTTACTGTTAGTTCATTGTGGTCAGAAAAAAATGCCTTGCTTACTTTTTTAAAAAAGACTTATTTATTTTTATTGGAAAGTCAGATTTACAGAGAGAAGAGAAAGAAAGATCTTCCATCCACCGGTTCACTCGCCAAGTGGCCGCAATAGCAATAGCTGAGCCAGGAGCTGGAAGGGAAGTAGAACAGGCAAGATGCCAACTGGCGTCCATATGGGATCCCGGGGTGTGCAAGGCGAACATTTTAGCCACTAGGCTACCATGCCAGCCCCTGATGACTTTGTTTTAAAGCTTTCATGAGGACTTATATATACTTAACCCTTGACAATATTCTGTATATTGATGAAACCAACATGTACACAAAGGTTTTTAAATGAATTGTTCTTCCCCTCCACCTCCCCAGTGGGACTGTACTGTTGCATTATTCTAACTCTATTTCTTTGGCTAATTTTTTTCTCATTTTTTTAAACTTGACTGGATGACATATCTATAAATGGAAAGGAAATTTTCCACTATTCTATAAAATTGGATGTAACTGTGCTGATTGTGAATTGGTGACTATCTTTGGTTTTTATAATGAAAGGATTATTTTTACTGGAAATAATCACAGAGAGAAGGAGAGACAAAGATCCAAAGCCAGAAACCAGGAGCTTATTCCAGGTTTCATGCTCTGGTGAAGGGTCCCAAGACATTGGGCCATCAGCTGCTGCTTTCCCAGGCCATAAGCAGGGAGCTGAGTGGGAACTGGAGCGGGCAGGATATGAACCAGTGCCTATATGGGATGCTGGCTCTTGCGGGTGGAGGATTGGCAAGTTGAAATAATGTGCTAAGCCCAGCCATCTTTGTTTTCCAAAGATGTTAAAGGCTACTTTTTGTTACATAAGTGTGTCTAGTTCTCTTGCTTTGGGCTTCTATCTACCTGCGGTAACTTTTTTCCATCCTTTCACTTTCAGTCTGAGTATCTTTACTGGTCAGTGTTTGTGTCTTGCTAAATCATGCAATGTGATTTAACTGGGAAATTTAGACTATTTACATTGAGGTTTGTAATGATAGACCCGCAGTTAAATATTATAATGATTTATTTTATCTTTATGATTTGTCAATTTGCTCTGTGATATGGCTTCATTCTGCTGTATGTCTATTTGACATTGAAACATAATTCAGAATGGTAGCTTTTTTTCAGTATGTAAGTAGGAATTTTTTAAGTGCATTAGTGATTTTTTTTGACATATTTTAATTTTCAATAAAATGATCAAAATATTACCATCGTAATTCTAAAAAGTTCCAATCAGAGATGAGAATGTAAAGTTGAAAATGAGATCGGGGCTAAGTCACAGACTTAGAATATCAAACAGGATAGAAACCCATGATCTTGTTAATATTTTCCATTTTAGCTATTGAAAATTGATTCAGTATTGGAGGACATTACATTCAGGGAAATAAGCCAGACGTAGATGGGCATTTACTCTGTGCAATCACCTAGATGAGGAGGCTGAAAAATGTAGACTCAAGTAGTGACAACTAGGACATTGGAGTGAAATGATCAAGGATGCATGTTAAGCCCTCAAACTGGTTGGAGAAGCCAGTTTTAACATCCCACAGTATGGTAAGGTGACCAGGGTTAATATTGGCCCTTTACACACTTTATGAAGAAGCAGAGAAGAGAGTTTGAAGGTTGTAAATATAAAGAAATAAAAATGAGATGAAAATGCAAACTGGGCCTGGCATGATAAAATAGTAGTTAAAATCCTTGCCTTGAATGTGCCAGGATCCCATATGGGCACCGGTTCTAATCCCGGCAGCCCTACTTCCCATCCAGCTCCCTGCTTGTGGCCTAGAAAAGCAGTTGAGGACAGCCCAAAGCTTTGGGACCCTGTACCCGTGTGAGAGACCTGGAAGAAGTTCCTGGCTCCGGATCGGCACAGCACCACTGTTGCGCTCACCTGGGGAGTGAATCATCGGACGGAAGATCTTCCTCTCTGTCCCTCTTTCTGTATATACGCCCTTCCAATAAAAATAAATAAATTGTTTAAAAAAAATGCAAACTAACTTAAGTTTACCATTATATACTAGGTACACATTTTCAATGATTAGACAGTGCCTTATAAATACAACAGCCATTGACAATGTTGGGATCTGTAGAAAAATTAGTGCTAAGCCACTGTAATGGAAAATTTAGTTGGGTTTTTTTTTTAATCATGTCATTTCATGCCCTACTACCCTACGAGGTTTCTCCTGAATCGCATCCTTGGCTGCAGGTGTTAGAGCTCTTGCGTACTGAGCTCACTGCTTTCCAGGCTCTTTGTTGGGGAAAAATTGGAACCAGAGCTAGGAAGCGAATGAAGGATGCTTCTGTAAGGCAATCCATCTCTTCCCTTGGTAATCTGTTAACTAAAACTATTTAAGTTCACTATTCTTTCATACTTTCTAGGCAGATCAGTTGTTTCACCTTTGGGTTTTGTCCCAGTTAGATGCTCTGGTTTACTGCCCCTGGCACCTGGCAGAGAGTATGCTGATGGTTTCAGTAAAAATACCAGCAAATGTTTTGTTTTTTTGGGCAGTGCTCTGCTGAGTATGAAGTGTTTATGAATATTTTCAAACTACAAAACTGCATATTCTATATATATTAAATGTAATAAAACCCTCTTGCATAGTAAAAATGAGGTGAAATTTTTTTGTATTTTATGTGGTTATAACACAGCTTAATGGAGTTAGATTCACTTAGTTTTTGTTTGTGTGTGCATACATACACTCCACATGTGAATAGCAGCTTAATTAATGCTATCCATAGCCATGAACTTGATCCTTTGACTTCTCAGGAGAACCTGTGCTTGTCAGGGGCTGGATCCAGAGACCTGTGGTGCCTCCTTCTCATTTGGTTGTTCATGGAGTATGTACTACAATGGATGTAAGTTTGCCAGAAGCAAGGTCCCAAGGAAATTTAAGCTGCTTGGGGATGACCCGAAGGAGGTGGGTACACTTGTTGACGTAATCTTTTTGTTACTCCTAGAATTAAAAGGCTATTGATGAAAGGAACAGTGTGGTGTATTTTGTGATGAATCAACTTAATTTGAAGGCTCATAACTTATGAACTTATCTCAATACAGTAAACATGTTGTGTCAAAGTTATAGATGAAATTTCAACGACAAATTTTGGCCCTTTTATTGATTCCTTAAATGTTTAAAACTAAACCATATTTGTAATGCTTATAAATGTTCAGCAGAAGCACTTGAACATTGATTTCTCATTAAGTCACTAGTTTCTTAAAACGCTCATACTCCCTCACTGACCCTGCTCAATAATGTTCTTGTGAAATTGGTAGATGATTGCACTCAGTGCTCCAAACAGCTGGCAGACATGTATGTATTACCAAGCGAATAGAAATGTGTGCTGCTAACTCAAAGAAGACATTACCAAGTAGTTTTTGGGATCTGGCTGTATACTTGAAATTCATTCAGTGTGCACATTCAAGAGCATGTTAAGATAACAGTTTAAGAAGCATTCATGAAGTGCTATTATTTCATTTATTTTTTTTACCATGTTTATATATGTTTTTATGTTTATCACTTTTACATGAACATACTACAAGCAAATATAGGTTACAGAAAGGATGGAAATAGTAACATTAAACCATAAAAATAATTTTTGAAGTTTATGTTCTTTGCAGCTGGTTGGATAATGAGTGTCAAAAAGTAAAGCCTTCTATATGAAATGCCATTATTCTCTTACTTCCAGCTAAGGCCTAGTATTCTTAAAAATTCCAAACATTTGTACTCAAAACATAAAGTCAGTTACATCTAATAGAACAACCGGAATAGCACGTGGTAAAATAAGTGATTACCCAACTTTTCACTTAGAACTAATCTAAGATAGTCTATGTAGAAAGAAAACTCAGTGCTGTGTATATGAATGCAACTGTATGTGAAGTATTGTATAGATTTTAATATAATTATTCCTTTCACAAAGGAAGAGAAACTGGAATCCGATTTGCAAAACTTAGCCACTCTCTTGGCACCAACATATAAGAGACTTGCACCTGATGCATATAATAATCAGGTAAGTTTAAATCATCATTACTGATGACCTTGTTATCTGCAAAAAATAGTTTCAAACCAACAATTTCCCTTTGTTTTTCTATGCTTTCCTACTCATTTGGAAGCCACCGTAAAGTTCTGGCATGTGATAATTTTACTCTCCAAATGAGCATATTGGTGATCTTTTTAGCTATATATGTATAATGCACTCACAAATTTTATCTTCCAATTTTGTTTGGTAATCATTAAAATTAACTGGTGCACACTATTGATCATAAATTTTTCTACTTCCTACGAAGTCTATAAATAGTAAGTTCAGTATGCATATGTTGTTCAGGATAACTGCATTTTGTACAGGCATCATATTTCTGTATTTTCTGTTTGGCCTTGGCTTTGTGTGGTGCTTTTGAACAATACCTAACAGATAAGTAGTTAATTTGGTCAAAACTCTCTAGTGATGGAAGCAAAAAGATCATGTGTTCTTCACTATCAACAACAAAATGTCTTGAATAACAGCCACAGCTGGGCTCATCAGGAACCAGGACCTTCTTCATTGGTCTCCCAAGTGGGTGCAAGGATCCAAGAACGTGAGCCATGTTGCCGCCCTTCCAGGGCATACATAGGCAGGGATCTGGATATAAGGATATAAGCATGCTTATATTTCGCTATTCAATGTTTGTCAGTTATACATCAGTAATGCTGTAAAATAATTAGTAACACTGGAAAAAAGTGCTAGGTTCCTGCAACTCACACTGGAGACTGGGATGCAGTCTCCCCTTTCCTATGCACTGTTTTGCAGATTGAATATGAACACAGAGCTCCAGAGTGCCGGCTGGGTTTGAAGGAAGGCCGTCCGTTCTCAGGGGTCACCGCATGTTTGGACTTCTGTGCTCATGCGCATAGAGATCTGCACAACATGCATAATGGCAGCACCGTGGTAAGTGGTTTGACAACAGCTTGCCAGCACTTCCAACTCAACAAGTGTGCTTAATGCGGGTTGTGTGGTACAGCAGTGTTTTCATACTGAACTGCTGTTGCAAGGCGTCCTTCAACCTAAAAACATGAGAATCATGGAAATTTTAAGGGCTGATCTTAACCAGTGACCACATATTGCTAGAAACATGATTAATTAAGCAAAATCCATACAAAACCCAAAGTTGCAGCCTTTTTTTGGAAAAAGGCCTAAATGGAAAAATATGAAGTCCAAAAGAAGTCAAGTACAATAATGACTGGCAGTTTCTTAGTGCAAAGCAGCCCATGATGGAGACATCTCACAGTGGACAGGTCTTAGAATCGATGGCCAGTGTGAGAGGAGAAAAGCAGTGAGGATGTTTACGTAGTTGATCGAGGGTTAGTGAAAAATGGGTGTGATCGTTGTTTTCAAATTTTCTATTCCTCTCTCTCTGGAGGAGGAAGGGAGATGAGGGGAGAAGCCATATCCAGGTTCCCTACCATTGAGCAGGGTTCTGTCCCACTTCACTGCCTTACATCAAGGTGGCAGCAAATAGAGACATAAGAAAGATCTTTAGACTCAAGAGGAATTTGCCTCTGTTGGATCTCGTGCTCTGTGAATTAAATAGGGATTTACCTACATAGTAAAAGGTAACAAGATACTCAGAGGCCTGGATTTGGTAGGATTATTTTCCAAGTCAACCTATCATGACAATGTTCCATTCCATTGTTTCTTCCTAAGATTTCATCTCACTTTATGCTTAAGTACTGATTTTAGCTTGTCAGTGACATGTGACCAAGTCTCCTTTCACCACCTAGCTATCTTTCATGGAAATGTGCATGTCATTGATTTAGTGCATCTTGGCCACCAGCAGAAATCTGCCTAGTGTGTGTCTTTCCTTTTGGACCTCTACCTGAGATAGCTATTCTTCCCCATCAGGTATGCACCCTCACTAAAGAAGACAATCGAGAATTTGGAGCAAAACCTCAGGATGAGCAGCTCCATGTTTTGCCATTATACAAGATCTCTGATGTGGATGAGTTTGGAAGTGTAGAGGGTCAGGAGGAGAAAAAACGGAATGGTGCCATTGAGGTGCTCACTTCTTTTCGACGCAAAGTCAGGATGCTAGCGGAACCCGTCAAGACATGCCGACAAAAGAAACTTGAAGCCAAGAGAGCTGCCGCCGAAAAGCTTTCTGCTCTAGAGAATAACTCAAATAAGAGTGAAAAGGAAAAGTCCTCACGTACAAAACAGCCTGAAAATGCAAGCCAGGCTAAACAGTTGGCAGGTGAGTGTAATATGAAGCTTTGTGGATATGTGTTGTATTAAAATAGCCATTGCTAAATATTGGAAGGTAGCTTCAGTCACAGTTCTAATTCTGTACCTTTGGTGTTGAACTTAGTAACATGATACTACACCACCAAGCCAAGCTTGATGAAAAAGCTTACGTTTTATCCCACAACGGACAACAAAGCTTGAAGCTAGCAATGACTGGTGGCCCAAATCAGTTATTGTGGTGATAAACCGAGACCTTAAATTTTGATGAGCTCAGTGTTCTTAACATGTGTTAAACTTCCACAAGTGAAAATATCAATATAATTGTCTCTCAGTATCTCGGGTGCAACGAGTTCCTTATGTCATTTGCATTCTTCCATACCATAATTTGAAATGGCTTATAACACCTAATACAACAAATGCTATGTAAATAATATACTGGTTAGGATATTTTAACACTTACAGTGGTAGCAGTGGAACATTATTTAAACAAAACTGTTTAATCTAGGACATGCTATGCTAGTGAAATGTAGTAAGATTTTTTTGTTTTTGCACTCATCACCAAAAAGTTATAAAATCTATAGCCTTGTACATTTCTTGTCTGGAATACTTGACAGGCAGCATACTGTAGACTCCGATGTTTCCAGTAGCTGAATACTTGAGCAGGTGGAGAGACTCCTGTATATAAAACATTATCTGTTCCCAGGCATGTAACAGAAAATTAGATCAGACGTGGAGTAGCTGGGTTTCAAACAAACTCTCAAGTCTTCTATAACAAATATAAGAAATATGGGTGCATTTCAGGCTGTGGAGAAAAATGTGTATGCCATTTTTCTAGAAGGTTAGCTTTGGGAACGGGGAGGGTGATACACACCAATCATTACATTGTGACCATTGCTTCATGAGTCAGCATCTGCATTAGGGCACTTCTAGGCAATGTGATGGTCATAGTGACATGGCAGCATATTTTTTACATTTTTGTTCATTAACCTGGGAACGTTCCAGATTTTATTTCTAATGCTTTGATCACAAAACAATTCAGTGACCAATACTCTGACTTGGTCCTTGTCCTTCCTTAATTGTTATTGAATAATCTTGTTGGTGTTTATCATACAGATTTAAGCCTCCTTGTTAGCATTTAGAAAATACCATAAATATATGTGTTGTTATTCTCTTGCCCTTTTCACAGAACTTCTGCGTCTTTCAGGACCAGCCATGCAGCAGTCTCAGCCCCAACAACAGAAACAGCTCCCATTGCAGTCACAGCTGCAGCCTCAGACCCAGACCCAGACCCAGACCCAGACCCAGCCCCAGCCCCAGCCCCAGCCTCAGCCTCAGACCCAGCCTCAGACCCAGCCTCAGACCCAGCCTCGGACCCAGCCTCGGACCCAGCCTCAGACCCAGCCACAGACCCAGCCTCAGCCTCAGCAAAAGCCTCAGCCCCAGCCCCAGACCCAGTCTCAGACCCAAACCCAGTCTCAGCCCCAGCAGCAGCCGCCTCCACTGCCCCCACCGGCACATCATGCCTGGACCAGTAACCCTCCATCAGAGGCCACCAACTCTTACTCTTCTTCCGGGTCCACAAATGTGTACATGAGACGGCTCAACCCAGTGAGTGCTCACCCTAGTTCTTCACACACTTCAGATGTTTATGGAGGTGCCAATGCTATGAACCTTTATCCCACCTCATCCCAAGCCACAGGTTCCTATTCTAATCCCATGAATCCCTACCCAGCACTGTTAAATCAAAATAATCAATATGCATCCTTTCAATGTAATGGAAATATACCCATGGACAATTGTTCACCCTATTTGGGCTCCTATTCTCCCCAATCGCATCCCATGGATCTATACAGGTATCCAAGCCAAGACCCTCTCTCCAAGCTCAATCTGCCACCCATCCACACATTTTACCAGGCAAGGTTTGGAAACAGCCAGAATTATTCTTCTAAGTACCTGGGTTATGGAAACCAAAATATGCAAGGAGATGCTTTCAGCAACTGTACCATTAGATCAAATCCACACCACCTAGGTGGATTTCCTCCTTACTCCACTCATGAAATGGATAGCCATTTCATGGGTGCCACTTCTCGACTACCACCCAATTTGAATAACCCAACTGCAGAGTACAAAAACGGCGAACATCATCCATCTTCTCACATGGTTCATAACTACGGAGTAGCTCCTGGCATTTTCGACAGCTCCCCGCACGCTCTGCATCTCCAGAACAAGGAGAATGATGCTCTTCCCCACACGGCTAATGGGATGCCCAAGATGCTTCCAGGACTGAACCACCACAGAACTGCTGCTGTCCCCAGCAGCTCACATAAACCCAGTGATGCTAACAGTCAGGACAAGCAGGCCTTGGCACCAGTTCAGGCTGGGACTCCTGCAGCAGCAGAAAATGATGAGGTGTGGTCGGACAGTGAGCAGAACTTTCTGGATCCTGACATTGGGGGAGTGGCTGTGGCTCCAGCACATGGGTCCGTTCTCATCGAGTGTGCAAAGCGTGAGCTTCATGCCACCACCCCTTTAAACAATCCCAACAGGGACAAGCCCACCCGGGTCTCACTTGTCTTTTACCAACATAAGAGCATGAATGAGCCAAAACACGGCTTGGCTCTCTGGGAAGCCAAAATGGCTGAGAAAGCTCGTGAGAAAGAAGAAGAGTGTGAGAAGCACGGCCCAGACCACATGCCCCAGAAAACGCATGGGAAAAAATGCAAGCGGGAACCCACTGAGCCACACGAACCTTCCGAGCGCAATTACCTGCGCTTCATCAGAACTCTCGCTGAGAGGACCATGTCTGCGACCACAGACTCCACCATAACTACATCTCCATATGCCTTCACTCGCGTCACTGGGCCTTACAACAGATACATATGATGTGGTTGCTTCTGTCAGTTACCTCACTTGATAAGTCCACAACCAAACCTGTCTGTAGTTTCGTTCTCATGATGTGGGCAGTGGGGAAGAGGTCACAGTATTCCTGATGTGGTGGGAAAACCCCTGCTCCCCAGCAACAAAGGAGGGGATCTTACCACAGCACTTCATTTGCCCAAGTGGTCACAGATGGTGTCTAGGGAGAAGACCAAAGCATTCTATGCAAAAAGAAGGCGGGAAAGAATGTGTTCCACAATTTACATTGTTAACACTGGTTCTATTATGGGATGAGAAGAGATGTAAATGTGATTTTTTTCCCCCCTTACTACTCTACACATCTGTGACCAACTTTTAATAATACCAAGTTTGCATAGTCATAGAACACAAACAAGTACTGTAGAATCACAGTTGCAGGAATCATACAATACCATCTGGTGCTGAATATACAATGTACTGAAATACTGGAATTATGGCTTTTAAAATATGCAGTTTTTACTGTAATCTTAATATTTTATTTATCAAAATAGTTACAGAGTGTAAATGAATAGCAGCAAAACACTGAATTTGTTTGGATGTGCTAAGAAATGGTGCTAAGAAAATGGTGTCTTTAACAGTTGAAAATTTAATGCCTTTATTGTCATCAAGATGTTATCTGTGTATTCCAGTACCCTTTCAGTAATACGGGGTACCTTTTCATTCAGATTTTTACCATTGCAGATTCTTCACATTTTTAAAGGACTCTGGATTGCACTCATCCAGCGATGTCCTTGTAGGACAATAAACATATGTACATATATGCACACATGTATATGTGCACACACATGTACAAATATAAAATGTATAAATATTTTAAATGGTGTTTTAGACGCACTTTGTCTACCTAAGCTTTGACAACTTGAACAATGCTAAGGTACTGAGACTTTTTATTTTTAAAGTTTACTTTCATTTTAGAATGGAAAGTTGATGTTTTTTTTTTTTTTTAATGAACCAAGGCTTTTAAAGTATATTTTGCTTTTACCCATGCATCTGCTGATGAGCAACATGTTCATTTTTTAACACAGCCAGTTAAATCCTCCGTGGAGCTTACTGGATTTAATGGAATACATTAGTCCACACAACTTGTTTTCTGGTGCTCATCTCATGCTATACTGTAAAACAATTTTATACAAAATTGTATGACAAAGTCATTGCTCGAGTATTAGACTTTTCAAGAGTTTTCTATCATCTGCCAGTCATAATTAGCATGCTCCAGACACAACTCATTCACGTAAGCGTGTGCCATTTCATGGGTCTGCGTGCTGTAAACAGAACCGATGGCTGTCTGCCTTGGTGTTGATAATTATGTGCATTGTGCGATTGTCTTTTCTTAGCTTAAGTGTCCTCTTTACCAGAAAGATGGAGTGGACTGATGCCTGCGTCAGATGAATAAACAGGGTTAGTTCCATGTGAATCTATTGATTTAAAGAAACAGGCAGCTGGTTTGCTGTGGTGGTTTTGAATCATTCATTTGTATAAAGAATTGAAAGAGATGTATAGTAAATTAAATTGTAAACAAAACTTTTTTAACGCAATGCTTTAGTATTTTAGTACTGTAAAATTAAATATATACATACACACACACACACATATATATATATATATATGAAATTGAAGCAGAATTCAGATCCTGATGGTGCTACTCAGCCTGCTAAAAATATAATGTGAGCTAAGAATTCATAAAAGGTTTGAGTGACGCTCCTACTTGTCATATACCTCAGCACTAGTTTGGCAATAGGAGAGTGAGAATGACAGCTTACAGCATTGTGTACCATCACTGCTTTCCAAGTCTTTTTGTTTGTTTGTTTTAATTATTAAGAAAGCATACTTTTTTCAATACTTGATTTCTTAGCAAGTATAACTTGAACTTCAATCTTTTTGTTCTAAAAATTCAGGGATATTTCAGCTCATGTTCTCCTTATGCCAACATGTCACCTGTGTTTATGTAAAATTCTTGTAGGTTAATAAATACATTCTTTTTCAGGGATTTAACCCTTTTATTTTGAATCCCTCTTGTTTCACTTATATTTTTAATAATGTAACTAAAGCTAATTTTGTAAATTTGTTGGCTCTTTGTTAAAAGCATTTTAGAAATTCGGGGAATCTTTTGACTGTGTCAAGCAGGACAGAAACATTAGTGATTAGTAGAAAGCACTGAGTTGATAAAAGGGATAATTGTAAGGCAGGAGTCTGGCAAATGGCTGTTGGCCAGTGTTTTAAATCTCTGAATAAAGCTTTTTTGATCTTGTAATTAATGCAAGTGAATATTCCCTGGGTACTTCTCCAGGCAAAACACTTTTTGAGGTCTCGTGTGCAATAAACTGTACAATTACACTTTGGTTAAATACATTTTTGCTTAGTAGCATTTCACATCAACTCATCAAAGGAAGCCATTTGAGCTTTTCCTGTTTTCCATATACCTAATCCAAAGTGGTTACCGGATGTGATACAGAGTTGGTCATCCCTAATGAATTTTTGGTTTTTACATCATCCACTGTCATTTGTCAAACTGCTAGCAGCAAGAGCAAGAAGTGTAATTTGGCGAGTTGGGAGAGGTTAAGTAGGAAAGAAGAAAGGAGATTAAATGGCATGTTGTAAATATCCCATCTGTAACTGTATATAGCAAACCTGCCTCAGAATGAATGGAAAGCAGATGTACAGTTTGCTTGTATAGGAATATCAGGTTGACTATATAGCCATACTTGAAATGTTTCTGAGTGGTGTCAACGTTACTTGAATGAATTTTCATCCTGATTGACGCACAGTGGTGTATAGTTCACTTCTAAAGCTAGTGGTAACTTGTTAGGAAACTTTGCAGTTTGACACTAAGAAAATGAACTTCTGTGTGCATTTCCTATGCTTTATTTTTTTAACTTAGTTCACTTCATTTTCATTTTATAATGAAATCTAAGGATGGTTATAAATAATGTAAGTATTGTAATGTTATGGATGCAGGTTATTTGAAAGCTGTTTATTATATCATTCCTGATAACGCTATGTGAGTGTTTTTAATAAAATTTATATTTATTTAATGCACTCAAAAGTATTGTCTGGGAGTTTCATTACTGCCTGAATTAGTGTTACCTTAAAAAGAGAATGATTTGAAAAATATTTACTTTTTCTGTTTTGAAAGACACATCTCAGTGGAATTCAATGAACAGCAAGGTCCACTGAGCACATGCCTTTGTACAGAATTGTCACTGAAATACAAATTTGGTTGTTGGTGGAAACTTGAGATGCCCATGGTACCCTATCACTTTTGTCATGCATGGGCTATTTGTTTCTTGAATTTCTTTCACTTGAAACATGAAACCTTAAACATTTAGGGAGTGCCCTAGTGGCTAATACTCAGCCTGCAACAATATCAACCTATATAAGCACCTTTTGTAGCCAACATGAGGCTCAATTGGCTAATCCTCCACCTGTAAGCACCAGCATCCTATACGGGCTCCAGTTTGTGTCCTGTAGTGGAGAATGGCTCAAAGGCTTGGGACCCTACACCTGCATGAGAGATCCTGAAGCTCCTGGCTCTTGGCTCCAGATCAACTCAGCCCTAAGCATTGTGGTTATATGGAGAGTGAGCTAGTAGGTGGAAGATCTTTGGCTGTCACTATAAAATCTGCCTTTCCATTAAAAGGGGGTTATCGTCACAAACTATATGATAAATGATTATTATTCCAACTATATCAAGAGTTCAATAAACCACAACAAAAAATAACAATCCAGAGAGGAAACAGTCAAAATGACTAACCGAACATGGCAGAAGGGATACAAATGACCAACAAGTTAATCAAACAATTCTCCTTATTCAAGCACACAGGACAGCATTGAGAAGGACTGCTCCCAAGGAAGGTTTAAGGAAGAGGAGAAATCTCAACAGAGCTTTCAAGTATTTGGACAGGTGTAATGCACAGACTACCCAAGGGCTGTCTGTCTTGGAGCAAACTCCTGAGAAACTGTATGGGATGTACTCTTCCCCGTGTGAACAGCATTCTTCTGTAATTATCAAAAATAAAAGAACTTAGAGGCAATAGGGCAGAGGAGACAAAGAATTCTTTTTAATTATTTAATCTGATAAAATCACACAGAGGGGGAGATTTTCCATCTGCTGGCCTACCTCAACATAGTTGCAAATGGCCATAGTTGCAAATGGCCAGGCTAAGATTGAAGTCAGGAGCCAGGAGCTTCATTCACATCTCCCATGTGAGAGAAGTGACCCAAGCACCTAGGCCATCTTCTGCTGCTTGCCTAGGTGCAAGAAGAAAGAGATGGATCAGAAGTGGAGCAACTGGGAATTGATTTGGCACCCATAAGGGAAGCTGGTGCTGCAAATGATGATTTAACTCACTGCACCACAGTACTGGCCCTCCTGCCAACCCTTAAGATATATTTTTTTCAACAATCAAGATTTATTTTGGTCAGATTTAGGAGCACAGAAGAGCAGAGGCCTCACAAATGGAGAGCTTGCCACTTGTCCAAGGGACCACGGTTGGGGATGTATTTGACCCCACAGCCATCAGGGATGAGCCGCTTCTCAGCCACCATGTCTTCAAATTCATCCACATTGAACTTAGTAAAACCCCACTTCTTGGAGATATGGATCTTCTGGCAACCAGGGAACTTGAACTTGGCCCTGTGTAGGGCCTCAACCACATGTCCTTGTTCTGCAGCTTGGTGCAGATTGACATGACTTCGCCATGTGAGCCCTGGCGACTGTGCCCTGCGGCTTTCCAAAAGCACCCCGCATACCTGTCTGCAGCCTAGATGAGAAACAGTATGAGGTCAGAACCACGATTGGACACTTTGAAGGACTATCTCCAAGGTCCCTTAGAGCAACCCATACAAGGAAAAGGTAGCATACACTACCAAGGAGAATTACGTTTGCAGCCATTGCACACCAAGCACCCATGACATAAGGGAGCTGGTCGGCTTAATTAGCCGCAGGAAGATGTTTTAAAGGAATAATTATAAAGACAGGAGGAGAAACAGACACAGACACAGAAAGAGAGAGAGAGATCTTCTGCTTGTTTACTCTTCTCCCCAAATGGCAGCAATGGCCAGGGCTGTGCCAGGAGCCTAGAGTTTCTTCCAGTTCTCCCTCATTTATGCAGATAACCAAGTGCCTGGATTATCTTCTGCTTTTCCATGCACATTAACAGGTAGCTGGATCAGAAGTTGATCAGCCAGGGATCAAACCAGTGCCCAAAAAGCACATCAGTATTAACAGTGGATGTTTAACTGGCTATACCACATTATTGGTCAAGACAAAGTTTTTCTTTCTTGCTTGCTTTTGTTTTTTAAGGATTTGTTTGTTTGTTTGTTTGAAAAGATCTCTACAAAGAGATGAGTGACACACAGATCTTCCATTGGCTAACTCACTCCCCAAACAGCTGCTGGAGATGAGCCAATCTGGAGCCAGGAGCCAGGAGTGTCTTTCAGATCTCCCATTTGGGTGTAGGATCCCAAGACTTTGGACCATCTTCTGTTGCTTTCTCAGAGCATAAGCAGGGAGCTGGATTGAAAGTGGAGCATCCAGGTCACCAACTGGTACCCATTATGCTTGCAGGTGGAGGGTTGGCCTTTTGACCCATAGTGCAAACGCCAGTTTTGACTTTCAATGATTTCATTTCTGCTCTGTCTTCAGGTAAGTTACATATGCTCTTGGACACCATTGTTTATCAACCTGGAATAGTCACGTCTATCCCAAAAGTGGCCGTGAAAATTATATGAGCCAAGCATGAGAATGTGCCCAAGAGAATGCCCAGAGAAAAGTAAGTTTGAGTCTTCCAAATCAATTACAGGAAGCTTGGGGGACTATAAATTTTGCATTTATCCAGTTTAAAAATCATTTTTAAAGAGGATGCAGAACTGAAAAGGGAGAGTTGGGTGAAAGATGCCTTGTAAAAAAAAAAAGGGAATTACATCTGCAGAAGAGTAAAGGCCATGATCTGAAACCCCAGAGAGTGTGTATCTTTGAAAGCAGCAGAGACCTACAGTAAAGAAGAAACCTTCAACTGACAGGAAATTCACAACACCAAGAGAATTTACCCCACAGGATGAAAGCTTGAAATAAGAGAAGTGCAGAACATAATGGAAATATAGAGGGAAGGTTTTGTTCTCCTCCTGAACTAGGAAATTGAAAAATCTAAACCGAGCATGAAATTGTGGCTGAATCTGCCAAACTAGGAAGTAAGTAATTTTTTTCCCTTCTAAAGAGAAAGAGAGAGACACACACACACACACACACACACACACACACACACACACACACACAGAGAGAGAGAGAGAGAGAGAAAAGGAGAATTTGGTTGAGATTTCGAGACAGCACAGTGTGAGTGCAGACTTGCTGCTGCAGATGGTCGTCCCTGGTCTTGCTAGCTGATGTCTTCTGCAAACAGATACAAAAGAGTCAAAAGAAGTTAAGAGCGTTGAAAGGCTGCAAACCCTGAAGCAGGCCACATGTTGGCTCAAGGAAACCCAAATCAGAAAAAAAAAAAAATGTTGTTTATGAAGGTATATTTATTACAGCTGAGAACTAGGCAAAATAAACCCCAGGCTGAAAGATCTTTGCCTCCTGAGAAAAGTTCCGGAGCTGTAGCTCACAAACTGACAAGGCCATCCACTTTTCAACTGAACTGACTCAGACCAAAGTCACCACCCCCAACCAAAAAAAATTGAGCACAGCTGGCTGGAGCTGACCTCTAGCCGGGGCTGTGTCCTGTGACTGTGAGAGCCCATAGGAAAACAGGCTGTAACTGGAGCCAATCCTTTCTGGCTCTATTCTGCAATGCAGAAGCAGGGCCAGGCCCAGTTGCTCAGCTCCTCCAGCTCTGCTTCCTGACTCAGCCTCAGGCAAAGAACTGCAAGCAGTCTGGCTGTCCACAGCTCCAGACAGCACAGAGGTCCTGGGAAACTATGCTGTCACAGGGCACGGATGACCCTAAAAGAGCAACTCTAAATCAATTCCAGTCCCTCCTTCCCTAGTTGACCTAAATGCGCACTCACTTAGAGAAGCCTCCTAATGAAGTGTAGTGTGGAAGAGAAGAATTACAGTAGAGGTGAATCAAGCAGAAGCAAGGCTCATGAAGGGACTGGGATTCAGATGAGATCTCTTCAGTTAGGAGCTGGTCATTTAGCAGTACTCTAGTTAACATCTCTCCAAGTTTATCAGTGTGTGAGGCTAACGATGCTTAGCTCTCAAGAAACTGTTGAGAGAATTAAGTGACACCATTCATACATGTCACTTCTCAGCCACATGTCTGTCATTGTGTGCTCAACAAAATGAATATTGTTACAGGTTTTCTGTAGACGTGGGGTTTCCCCCTGTATTGATTCATTTCAAACTATTGTGTTTTTACAAAGTTTCCAAAAGCAACAATGTTTCAACTACAATCTCACTGAACAATCTGGATATATGGCAAAAAATGTTGAGCAAAAAAACCCAAACCGGAAGCACCTTATATTTTTCATCTAGATGTAGTTCAAAAACAAGCACAGCAAATTCATGGATTTATTCGGCATACTTGGTTCCATTTGCTGGGTGAGATGCAGCTTGGTGGTGAGTAGCAGGTGGGAGAGGGCATCTAACAGGGGATTTCTGCTTCTAGGTGCTGATCAATGCTGCTCCCATGTCTCAACCTGATTACTTCACTGCACCGACTCAAGAGGGATTGAAGGCATACAGTCACATGAAAGCTACCTTTTGTGTATCTCTGTCAAAGATTTCTAAAGATAATAATCTTCAGCTTTCTTCTGATAGGAAACCAGCCCCACTCATTCTGGTGCCAAGCACCATTTTAGTTGTAAGGAATTTGTCACCAAACTGTCATCAAACAAGTTAGAGATCCTGCTTTAGCTCCCACATTCAGGGAGATGGGCGAGGGTAACATAGCAAAGCAGGAAAAGGGATCCTAGGTAAGGCTCCTATCTGGGCTTCAATTTTCTTTATTTCATTAACATTTACTTATTTGCAAGTCAGAGTTATGCGAAGCAAGATGGAAAGGAATAGAGAGATCTTCCACCTGCTCATTCACCTCTCAATTGGCCACAACGGGTTGGGCCTGGCCAGAGCCAGGAGCTAGATAGAACTTTCACCCAGGTCTCCCACATAGGTGGCAGCACTTGAATCTTCCCTGCTTATCACCCAGACCATGAGCGGGGAGCTGCATAGGAAGCAGAGTGGCCATGACATAAGCCAGTTCCTATATCCTACTGCACCAATGAAAATGGCTGCTGTTTCCTCCTGAGGTTAGTGGACATGAAACATGTTCTGCCTGCTCTGGACGTACACTTGTGTATTCTCCACCCTATCACGAGGAGAAAAACTTCCATGGGCTCTCAGAGAAAACACATTGGAGTAATGTTCCCAGTGATGTCCTCATGGCAGATACCCGAAACTCTGTCTTCTCAACTCCCAATACAGCTTCCCACAAGTCCAGTTTCCTATGTTTCCTAGTGGGATTTAGTAATTACTTTCATAGTTTCAAAAATCCAGAAATCTTTAACAGTTCCTAAGAGTAATTTCAGTGCACAGAATAGTCAGAAATCTGACTTTCCTGGAGCAGGCAGTTATCCTGGCTGTCAAGAAACATGCATCCAACCTTGGGTTTCCAGTCTTCTTTCATTCCTAGGGCTGACTCCTGACTCCAGCTTGCTGCTAGTGTGGAAATGGAGAGGCAGTGGTGATGCCCACGTGATTGGGTTCCTGCCAATCAGAAGCTCTGGACTGAATTCCCAGCTTCCACTTCAGTCCCAGCTGTTGAGCTGTTGCATGCATTTGGGGAATAACCCAATAAAGAGCTCTCGCTCTCTCTCTCTCCTTTCTCCTATGTTCTCTCTCTCTCAAATAAGTAATTTTAAAGTATGAATTACTCACAACACCCCCAAATTATTCTGAAAATACTTTTCATGACCTAAGTTGAGGAATAATGGCAGACTAGGAAATTCTACACCCCATTTCCCCATAGAACATAAAACAATAACAACTAAACCCAATAATAAAATCTGCCTAAAATAACCTTACAGAAATTCCAGGAAATCAGATATACAGCATGCAAAAAATGCTACATAGGGAATAACTGGAAATTTAGTGGTATTTATGCATTTTGTCCCACCATGTCATGAGTGTGGAACAGGATTATGGCGTAGTGGGTTAATGCCATATGGGTACTGGTTTGAATCCCACTTGCTCCCATTCTGATCGCTCCCTGGAAATATGCTTGGGAAAGCAGCAGAAGATGGCCCAAATCCTTGGGTCCTTGAGCCCCAGTACAGCTCTGGAAGAAGCTCTGGGCTCCTGGCTTCAGCCCTTGTCACTATTTGGGGAGTGAATCAGTGGATGGAAGAACTCTCTCGCTCTGTGTTTTCCTCTCTATCTCTGGTGGCAGGTGTTTAGCTCAGTGGAGAAACTACTGCTTTGATGCTTGTGTCACATATCCAAGAGCCTGGATTCAAAGTGTAACTCCAGTTCCTGACTTTAGGTTCCTATCATTGTATGTGTTGGAAGACCACGAGTGATACTCGAAAATCTGAGTCACCGCCACCCAAGCAGGAGACTTTGGTTGAGTTCCTGGTTCCTGCCAGTGGCTTGACCAACGTCTGGACATTACGAGCTATTAGGGAATAAATCAATTCAAAAGGCAAAGCAATAAAGAAATAGGAAAAAAAAATCTTTATTGTGGGTTTCTACCCCGAATGCCCACAATAGTCAGGTCAGGGCTATGCTGAAGCTAAGAGTCCAGAATTTCATGTGGGTATTTCCCATGGATGGCAGGGATTCATGAACTCAGGCAGTCACCTCCTGCCTCCTGGGATGCACTGGCAGAAGGCTGGAGTGAAAGTGGAGTACTGAGGACTTGAACTGACACTCTGGAAAGGAATGCCGGCACAACAAGTATTCATTTAACCTACTGCATGGCAACATCAGTCCCATAAATGAAATATTC